GAATTAATCATACATCCTTGACAAAGTTTTAATTCACAATAGAAATACCATTATAATACCTTGCTGTAATAATTCAGAATACAAATGAAAGCTAAAAACTGATATGCTCCATAGCTATTTTTTTTCCAGGACATCTTCCAGAACTGTGTACAAAGTAAATATTTCATTAACCTTGCTGATGGCAAACAAGGGGGCAGGGGAATGCACAGTACCAGTTGTAAGAGAACAAAAGTGGTTTCGGTTTCGTCTGTCACAACAGTTATTTACTGTTCTGTGTGTGCATCATAAAACAAGATATAGTTCTGTATACAGTCCAAGTGCTTTAGGTGTCTTTGACCCTGAGCAGGGGGTGGCTGGCGAATTATCGAGACACAATGCTTCTCTGTCTGAGACAAGCGAGACTGCAAGCACACGTCTCGCAAGAGATTGTCTGCTGAATATACACTGTTGGCTTTTGTGAGGAAAGAATGGCATTAACAGGCCAACAAGGGACAGAATGTTTCTTCATAACACTAAACATGTAGCTAAATCCTGCACAAAACTTTCTTTCACTATTATTTTTTTATACTCTAACCAAGGCCGGTCTGGTTATAATAAATCATCCAGCCGGACCAGTGTCATTCTCATAATGGATATTAAGATTAACGAAAACTAGAGCTAAGACTAAAACAGAAAAAAAGTTACCTGAAATAAAATAAAATAAAATATAAAACACTTAAATACACTGACAGTCTATATGTATATATATATATATATATATATATTAAAAAAAACACATAACACAACAAAATTACCAAAACTTAAAATGAAAACAGACAATATTAAAAAATATAATTCACAATATTAACAAAAGCTACAATAGTATATCAAAGATACTAAATAAAACTACTGTGGATCATCATGCATTTCTGCACAAGCTCTACCGTACAGCCGTGTGTGTATATAATCACCTTATAGGAAGGGTACTTAATGTTTCGAGAGCTGAGATTATATTCACTCATCTCGCACTGTATCTTATGTAAGATCAAGGACAGGGGTGATAAAGCGCTGTGAAGCTGTATAATTCTGCTCATGAAGTCAACTGTAGCCGGATCACCTTTCTAACTCATGGGGGCTTGAACTTAAAAGCCGAGGCTACATGCTATGGTCGGACACTCCTTAATTCTTGGATCTAGTGAAGAACAATTCATAGCATTAAAGGGATAGTTCAGCCTAAAATTTAAATTCTGTCATCGTTTGCTCAGTGTCAGTGGTGGACAACATTGGATTTCTTTGTGTTCCACAGAAGTAAGTCATTCAGATTTGGAGTGAGGCTGAGAAAATGATGACAGAATAATGTTTTTTGGTGAACTATTCCTTTAAACATGGTAATATCACAGTTTATGATATTTCAGAACCAGATCTATGTTCCTCGGGGGGAAACGGTGGCTTTGCGTGGCTGTGCTGAATGTTTGTAACCTCTAACTATGCTAGTGAAAATCTCTCATGCCTGTATACAAACATAACATTGTTTTTTCCCCTCTTTGGCTTGTGTGCACAGGAGGATAGAGGGTCCAATCAGCTTGTAGCTTGGCCCCACCTCTTCATGTAAGACCTTCCTTCTTGTCTGAGCACACATGCAACTGCAAACCAGACTTACCAGTACAGGCGAGCGGACTACTGACCCATTTATTTTCAGACCCACGAATGCCCTCTAGAAACCTGTTTGTGGGAATGTGTTGTCTAATAAGTATATGCTTTGTCTTAAAGAATTCCCATACTGCATACACAAGTTTATGCTAAAAAAAACCTGCTAAACCACTGCAAGATTTGTCGACAAATCGCTGTTATCATTGTTAATGAAAAAAAAAAGAGAAATGAAATAAAATAAAATAACAAAAACAAACCTGAAACTAAAATAAATTTTCCTGAAATATGATGCCTCTATATATTTTATTTTAAATACAAATTTAGTTTAAATTTGTTTAATTAAAATAAATTCAAATGTATAATAACTTATCTTTTATATAATATATATTTATAAATCGTATACAATGTCTGTATATATATATATATATATATATGCTATAAAACAGAAAATTTATATTTTATATGATTTACGTATGATGTTTATATTGTCTATATATTTATATATAAAACATAAGAGATTAAACATTAAAAAAAGCTAAAACTAATAGTAATAAAGTGAAAACTAAACTAAATTGAAAGGAAAAACTGAAAATAGACATAAACCTGAAATTCAAAATTTAAAACTATAATAACCCTGACCTGTTAAACTGAACAGTATGAGTGTAGATTTAAAAACGTAACCAACCCTTATTAAGTCTTTATAAACAATGTTCCAATATGCTGTAGTTTAAACTACAAATAAGGAAAAAAGCATCTACATTACATATAATGTAACATGTATAATCTACATCAGACATAAACCTGAAATTCAAAATGTAAAACTATAATAACCCTGACCTGTTAAACTGAACAGTATGAGTGTAGATTTAAAAACGTAACATTAAGTCTTTATAAACAATGTTCCAATATGCTGTAGTTTAAACTACAAATAAGGAAAAAAGCATCTACATTACATATAATGTAACATGTATAATCTACATTAGCATCACTAGCATCAATATGGCTGCCCACTGCTCCTACATTACATATAATGTAGATGACCACTTTTTCTACTGTAATTTTGTAGTACAATTGTCACAATTTTATGGTGGAATGGATTTAAATACAGTTAAAAATAGCTGAGAATACTAAGCCCTTATTGGTCGCTTAAAGCATAATCAAGTCGTGGCCTAATGGTTAGGGAGTCGGACTTGTGGCGCAGAAAGTCCAACAAAACATGTAGAACAGGGCTGTCCAAACTCGGTCCTGGAGGGCCGGTGTCCTGCAGAGTTTAGCTCCAACTTGCCTCAACACACCTGACTGGAAGTTTCTATGCCTAGTAAGAGCTTGATTAGCTGGTTCAGGTGTGTTTAATTGGGGTTGGAGCTAAACTCTGCAGGACACCAGCCCTCCAGGACCGAGTTTGGACAGCCCTGATGTAGAATACCATACAAACTGAATTTACAAGTGCGGCTGACATTTGCTTTGCACTTCTGGGCAGTGCTGACAGTTTTCAGGCGGTGTTTCAAAAGATATGACTAATATAAATCACTAATTGTGCTGTTAATATTGACGACACTTCTAGCACTTCATGTACTAGACAAAAATGTAGTGGCTGGGAGAACTTTGTGTTCCTTTCCAAGATAAAATGTTACTAATTGTTTTGTTTTTTGCAATTGCTGTGCTTTTATATCAAATACAAATGAAAAGAAGCCAGACGAGTATTCCAACAAATGCCGTCACTGTTTTGTTTAAATATTACATTGCATTCATGCACATACGCAGCCAGAAGACACATAAAGGTTTGATTAAAATCTCCACCTGCTCTTTGTAGAGGAATATCCAACTTTACTCATGATGCTTAAAATACAACAATGTGAAAACAATTCCTCGACAATGAACTCTTATGAGATACAGAAAGGGAGTGAAGGGCTATGAGAAATTCCAGGACAGTTTGAGCATTCAACAAGAGCTCTGGTGTCCTCACACCTCAATATTGTCGCTAACATTTCATTAGCACTCACATATGAAGTCAGGACACTGGCCTATTAACACGGTCATGTACAAACCATCGCGATGAAGGTTAAACACGTCATAGGCTCATGCTATTATTAAACATGGAGAGCATACATCTCCTGTAAAACATCCTTATGTCCAGGGTGGAGGGTAGTTCAGGTTTAACAGTCTATATTCTGTATCCACTGAGAGGTACAGTGTAACTGATATTCATTAATATAATGACAGACAGCTACTGTGGTTACAAGTGTAATGTCAATTAAGGTGACAATGTTAAACTTGAGCATTTGAAATTGCTCAAAATACAAAAACACAGAAAAAAAAAACCTAGACTACAACTGTGAACAGACAGTGATAAACACCAGTGTTTCAACAGTGTTGTAACATTTTACTACAAAAATACACAAAATACCAGAATTTGCATGAATGAATAATTTCTTATTAAATCTATTCATGTACTGTACAAAGCCATGTAATAAAACAGTTCTTATAAATAAATTTAATAAAAAGTCTTTACAACATTTTTTTTGGCAAAAAATAGTCCTGACACTCCAAAAATGTAAATAATGTTAATTATTTTACTTTCATTAATGATTTTTGCTGAAAGATGTCCTTTAAATTTCATGTGCACATTTTTAAGACCAAGAAAACACTTCCTGGCCAATACACATTATGTAATCATCTGAGAAAATGACTCACATGATTGGTCACAATAAATAAATAATTAAATTAAATTAAATCTCACCTCATGCAAGTTTAATTCTTTGACCTTTTCCTTTTGAATAACCTGTTAACAAAAAAAAAAAAAAATCAGTTTGTAACACTCCCATTCACACCTAAACTGTATCATACAATAAATAATGTACATTTACATAATACAGTAGCCAGTTTGAACAAATACGTCAGCAGCTCACCTGCTTGTATGCATAGAGCTCTTTGTGAGCCTGGTGCCGTAACCTGGACAAAAAAATCTTTGTTTTAGTTCAGAGTGTGACTTTACATTTTCATAAACCTGTGCTGGAGAGATATTGATAGTACCAAAATACATATAAACAAAGACCAAGATCAAGTTGAACCATGTTACTAAAATATAGCCCACTTTAAATGGCAGTGTTTTTCACAGAGATTTCTGGGTGTGATAAATGCTTCACTTCTGGACCTCTGTTTAAATATTCCAGCTGTATATGGTAAACACATGCCTGGACCTTATTTTTCAGCCTCATTTTGACAAATTGTGGTCTTCACGACCCAAAAGGCATTGCTCCAGTCATCCTGATGATCATATATAGTATAAATTATATCCATCATATTTGAGCATAATCATATAATTAAACACAGAGACATCCACTTTCAGAGATCTTCCTCTTGAGATTGGCTGCGTCCAGTTCTAGCAGCGCTGTGAGCTGCCTGCCTTAGCATTTTAAAACTCTCTTCAGAGTCTTTCTAGAGTGGGTCTTGTATTGTCTCATCAAGCTTGACCACACTTTAACAGCCTGTCTGAACCAGACTGCCCAGGTACTACCTTCTCACACCGCTGCAATGCTTTACTGAGTGTGACTGTCAGACTGGAGCCAGACCCTTTAAAAGAACTATATACAGATACTCTTGGCATGAACTCAAGAAATGGAGGCAGCCAAGCAATGGACAGTCTACATTTAACACTATTTTGATCTTGAGCAAGTGTGTCACAGACAGAGAGAGAGAGAGAGAGTGAGAGAGGAACCCTGATGGAAAATAACTGGAATGCATCAGGCATGATGCAAGAGTCTCTGGTGTAAGAAAAAGGCTATTTAAAGAAAATCAGCAAATGCCTCACACACTATGTTTAGCCTCTAATTTGTTAACACTGAACTGTTAATGTCTGTACTAGAGCTGTTAGAACATTAGTCCTAGTCCAACGGCTTTACAAGACATTTATCATGGCCTTTTTTAATGTTTGTTTTGCTGAAACCCTTTTCATTTAGATGCTCTGAAAAATATGACATAATTTCAACCAATATTACTTCCTGTACAAAGGAAATGAACATAACATACGATACCGCAGTATCTTGCAATCTGATCAAAGATAATACAGTATACATTCAGAAAAGACTTAGCAAGTGAAGAAAGAGTTGGACAAATATGAGAAAAATGGAGACATGTATTGTAAAATTTACCTCCATTACAAGTAAGCTTAACCTCTCGCAGCAGAGTGAGAGGGACCTGTAAAACAGGCAGCACAGTCTAGGAGAGAAACTGACATTCTGTAAGAGACCAGCTGGTAAAGGTGCAGATTCTCCCTTTGGGAGGATTTAGGGGTGAGGATGAGGGATTTATGGGTATTTTAGGACATTTTTTATGTTTAAACTCATTGGCATGCAAAAACGAATCAAAACCAAAAAAAGCCCTGGCACTAATGTTGACGTCTAAAGGGCCACTCAAACGAATGTGTTTTTGCATTTAAAAATGCACAACGCAGCGCACTGGTATGAAAAAAGCGGAACTTTTTTACCTTAAGCGACACATTTTTAGAATGCCATGTCATGCATAAGACACTGCAAAAGATGCAATGGACACACATGTCCACCTACCGCATATTTACAAAGGAAAACAATGGAAATGCAGTGAAGTGGAATGCAAAAATGTGTTTTGTGGGAATAGCACCCCGTCTGTGGTGGCTGGGTGAAACTAGTCAAGGACCATTCGTTCTTCAAAGCAAAAATACGATCATAACGTGATGGGAACGCAAAATAACAAGATATTCATGTTTCATAATCATGGCCAAAATCGTACCGTGTAGTTCCTTCCTGAGATCGGCTAGGTCAAGATAAACTGTCGTTTGGCAAACTACAGGCAGTCATGATTGCTCAAGCACCATTAGGATAATGTTCCAGTCCATCACGTAGAAAACCACCTTATAACCATTTCCATGCATTGTAAAATAACTGGTACAGCTATTAACATGTCACAGTAAGTGCTCAATCTCAGACGTGTGTGTGAATTTCGATTTTCTTCCCATGAGGATGACTGCACCAGACGAACACTCCCCCACCCGGCTGTTTTCTTCTCCATGTGTGTGTTCGCCAGTCACAGGGGCATTTCGCATTTGTGTGTCAGAGCTGGTGCATGGCTGCTACGTGCGGCTGCGTGTGTTTGCTCTCAATCACGACATCCTTCACAGGTCCACTTGAGCTCATGACTCTTACGTTGTGAATGTCGCACGACTACAATCTGATGGTCCTTTATTCAGTCTATGATTTTCCTGATAAAATAGCAGTTTAACTAAACAGGTCAAGAGACCAGCTCTAGATCTCTATCATTTCTTAAGGAATTTAAAAGGAAAGCGTCTTTTACATCGGAATCCCTGCTGAAAAGACCAACTTCATGCTTGTCTAGCTGGTGGACCAGTATAGCCATAACTAGTTAAGTTATATAGGAGGGTTAGTTTCACCAAAAAGGAAAATTCTGTTATCATTTACTCACCCTCATGTTTTAAAAAACACATTACTTTCTTTCTTCTGTGAAAAACAGGGACATTTTTTTAATAATGTACTGGTCGCCTTGTTAAATGCATTCACAATGAAATGGGACTGGAGCTTTCAAGCTTCATAAAGGACACAAAATAGCTATAAAATTACCTTAGATGTGGTCCAAACAACTATATTCCAAGTCTTCTGAAGCTATACAGTAGATTTGGTATAGAAAAGGCTGAAATGTGCGTTTAGTGAGCTGTTTAGCACACTGGCCAGATCAATGTGACTGGATCAGTCTGATTATTTGCCATTTTCGGCTTGACCACCAGTCCTCATTCACCTTCATTGTATTAAAAAGAGTAGCCAAGATATTCTTTAAAAATACACTTTTTGTGTTTACAGGAAGAAAGTCATGCAGGTTTGAAATGCCTCGAGGGTGAATAAATGACAGAAAATTCATTTTCAGTAAGAACCCTGGTGGGTACACTAGCATACAGACAACCAGTAACCAGCATTCAAACACAACATATGCTGGTCTTCTCATTAGGGACGTCTCCATCCTGTCAAAAGCAATTGTTCAATGATGTAACAAGGCAGAATGGTGGCCTACTATTTTGGTACATTGTACATTGGTACATTTGGTACATTGAGATTGTTGTCATTTTCATTATCCCCTGCTGGTGTAATGTACAGTATAAATATTTCAGAGCTGGTTTTTAGATGTACAGTGGCCCCACTAACATATTTTGTGAAATGTTGTAGGTGAAAAGTGTACTTGTGCAGTCAACTAAAATAAATACCAGTTATTTTGACATTTTATTGATTAATTAATTATTATTCAAATGAAATTAATGCATTTTTAAGTGCGCCTGAAATGTTTTTAGGGGCCACATACTGTTTGTGCATGGGGGCATAACAAATGTTTGCTGGTAATTCAGTGAGGAAGTTATGAATATTTGTGAACTAATTACATGCAAGGGAGACTGCATCTTTAGAAGCTTGGAATCTGGGCTAAATACAAACTTGTTTATAAATGACTTGGTAATCTGACAGTTTTTCATTCAAGAATCTAGTGTTTTTTTTACTGGTACGACTAATATAAGACTATAAAAGGCTACCAATACAGGTAAACATTTGAAAATACAGTAAGGGGGGAGGCAAAGTCAAATAAAACAGAACTAGTTTATAATAAATGGGAAAGAACTTACCATCTTCCCCACTGGTTAGGGTGAATTTGGATGAGAGCTGCTGGTTCTCACTGTCTTATGTAAGAGATGCTACACAATTGCACATTAAAGCTTTAGTATCTCTGCTGCAAGGAATGCCCACATGGCAGTGCTCAGGACAAATCTGACTAGATGACAGCAGCTCAATAGCTGAAGGAAAAAGAGTTTCTTAAGCTTCATGAAGGACCAAATATTCCCATTTCTATGTGCTTGCTCATTGCCAGGTTCATTCTCTCTTGAAAAGTTGAAAAAAAAAAATCAATGTCCTTCAAGTTGTGAAGCAGCTGCTGTAGAGTTCACTCAATCCATAAGGGAAGTTTGTGACACAATGTAGTTTCCTTGAGGTTGAAAATGCATTGATTTGTGATCGGGCAACTAAGCTGCTTTGGGTTCAGTTATTGTGAAAATAAGAAGCTTTATATCCATCTACATGGAAACTACCAGCCAAATCCAAGCAGGAGCGAGCTCGTAATGGTGTTTTTTATTTTAAATTCAGATTATCAAGTCAGTAGTTTTCTTAGCTTCTCCAAACTGTGCTGTTTGACCTTCTCACTCTTCATGAAAGTCTTTGTTAGTGCATCGAACAAAAAAATGTAAAGTAACAAAACCATTTCAGCGACAATTAATCTTCCTTCAAAATGCCAAACAATTGCCTTGCTGTCCTGATCATCGCTTATTTAGGAATTTCAGAAGCTTAGGATTTCATTTACAAGCTGAAGACACCATCCCCAAGAAAATGCTGTTTTGCAGTAGAGCTGTTCAGGCATGCCATCAAGACATGGTTTGTAGACCAACCTGGAAAGGCTAATTTGCCATGGGCTCCCATGGCAATTGGACTGAATGTGTATTTTAAAAATATAAATGAATAAATAAAAATCACATTACGGTATGACAGTGTAACTTACAGAGAAGTCTATATAATGAAATGCTAATATCAGACCTTATTTTACTCATAAACCTAAAACTAAATCCAACATTTCAGAGGGAACCCATTCAACAGAACAGCTCTATTAGAACAAAACAACAACAAACTGTGTTAATGTGTAGGATTAGCTTCTCAGTACTTAGCAAAAGTATAAATGAATGAAATTTGCAGATTTATCTCTACTTCTTTATTGGACAGCCACTAATAATTAAGGCATGGCTCTGAAATTCAGACTTGGTTCAGTCTTCAAAGTAAGCATGATAAAAGCTGCCTCGCATGGTATGAACACGGTGTGAAGATGAAAGAGAACTGTTACTTTTATATTTGTGGTGTAATTGTGCCTTTAATGACGTACATTGGTCCTGATGGCAACACTCTACACCACACGTTCCAACTACACCCACTTGTTCATACAAGGTGGATTTCCTTTTTCATGAATTTTCAAACAAATCATGATGCAAATTACTCTTAAATGTGTGTTAGCCATTTAATTACAACAATTCCGTTTTGTAGCCTGTATATTTAGGGATTAAATTAGACTTTCAAACCCTGTAACTGGCTGAAGAGGATAAATAAGCAAATGTATGGCATTTTGAGGCTTGTCCAAACACATTCTGCTGCCGCACACATAGAAGAGCCTGGTGGTCTTACCGAATCAGGTAGCAGCAGAAGAGTAGGCTGAGGATGAAGACGAAAATGGCCGTCCCAAAGACCACAATGTAGATATTGAGGGGAAGGTTCTGGAACCCTATATTCGGCATCCTGAAACTGTAATGCTGTAAATCTGAGGTCATGGATAACCTAGAATGAGAGGGAAAAGAGACAGAGAAACATCAGTGAGTGATTTATTGATCACAACACTAAATGCAAGTGCAAATGCTAGCAGACCACATGCCCATTATTGCAGTAATCCATTTATGCTGTGTCAGTTCAGTCTCAAAGGAAAATAATCACCCTGTCTGCCGATGCACGTATAAGCGAATGTTCTTGTCAGTATGACTGTGATTTGATATGTGGCTTGGCTTGATTTCTGGACGGTTTCCACAACAACTGCTTATGTACCCAACAGACCAATGAATAAACTCATTAATACATTAAATTGTGCATTGGGCAGTGCATGTAATATTCTAGGGGAGAGAGTTTGAGAACATTGGTCCTGCAGGAGCCATTAAGTAATACCCACACTGTCCGTCTGTGGGAAATTAGTGTTAACTAATCTACTGAGAGTCAGCACAGCTTTGACTTGGTCCCTTATGAGCATGTTTTTTAGATATTTAATCTATCATATATTCACTTCTGACTGGAAGAAATACTAAAAATTGAACCCTAAAATTGCTAACAGAATACCAACGTTCTTGAAAGGAAAACTTGAAATCACATCATATGACCCCTTTAACAGTTTTATTCCTATTGATTGAATTTGCTAATATATCGTTCACCTGATGTATATATTTAACATTTTATTCTTAAAAACATGGTGTATGTGTGTAGGTCTTTGTTTGTTTATGTGTGTGAGAGTGAGAGTGGGACATTCTTTATGATGCTACTCCCCCCAGTGCGGGCATGTCTGGACATGCCTTTAGTAGACAAGAGACATGTGGGACAGTGTGTGTGTAAACAAAGGGGAAGGTATAGAAAAACCGTGTGATGTAACAGCACATGCAGCTGGGTGTTAGCCATTATACTTTGTTCTCTCAGTCTTGGAGCTGCTATACTCTCTTATAGTATTTATTGTCTGTGGTTATATGTTTGTTTTTCTAACACCAGTCAGGAGTAGTGCTCCTAATTTCGTTGTATACAGAAAAATACAATGACAATAAAGGCGTTCAATTCAATTCAATAAATATTTGACATCCTGGACCTGTCTGAATGTGAGGGCCTTTGACACATTCGTAAATGCTCCCACTTTCCTCTGTCTCTGTCTGTACAGCTTTACCCATGCAAAGCTTTCTGACAGATGAGGGTAAATATACAAACAGAAAATCAATAACCAGCTGCCTTTACACACACACTGTTATATCAATAACAGCATCGCTTACTCTTACCGATACAGTATGTACTAGTAAACAGTATTAATTTTTTAACCTAGTTTGAGGTCTGAATCTGTCAGGTTCATGATGCAATTTTGCCTCATGAACCTGCAAAATACGACTGTACAGCCATTAATTGTCTGAGCTCTTGCGGCCTGGTTCTTGTCACAAAGCCAAAACATACATACATACATACTGACATTTTAATGTCCTCAAACACAAAGATGCATGTCCTTGGGAAAATCCTCAAGTTCAGGACATAGAAAAGAATCCGGAAGGACCGACATGTTAAAAGAATGATGGGTTGGGCATGTTGAATGGGTTCAAGGCTGGGAGAGGCTCCACTGGCTGCAGACAAGTACTTATCCTCCTTTTCCCCTCAGGACCCCAGTGTCAGTGGTACTATTCATTTTAATGTCATGTCTGTTGAATGATTACCTGCTTGCAAAATTTGCTGCTTTTTAATATATTTTAAAATGCAAAATATTCCTGTGTTTGCATACCTGAAGCAGCCATTACTGCAGACTTCAGTGTCACATGATCCTTGAGAAATCATTCTGATATGCTGATTTTGTGCTCAAGAAACATTTCTCACTGTTATCAAAGTTGAACAAAGAGACACATTGATCTGAACAAACAAAAAACAGAGTTAAAAAAGATAGGTATTCAGTGCTGATAATAATTGAGCAAAAACTTCTTTACTTGTAATTGGTTTGCCTCCAATTTAATGCAGGGTCTGTGTCAGGTTACAGTGAGCTGCTCAGAGACAAGAAAACAAAGTATGAGAGCTGGATGCATTTGTCACAACATCACTTTCACCCCAGTTAACAGTCACAGCATTCCAACTGAGATTTGTGTTTATCAACCATAATGAGGGCAGACTGAGTAAAAGGGGTTTTGATAGGTTAAAATATCCACCACAATCATAAAGTATGCATTGATGTGAAAGTCTGGGCCGATATCAATAACAATTAATCAACAGCTTGTTGTGGCTTACTTTACTTGATGAAATGAGGAATTAGCAAATGCATCATACAGATCAGACAGTCTTGTCATATCATTAGAAAGATCTCATCACTGAGACACTAAAATAAACCCAGTAAAACTAAATAAATGAGTTAAAATATTGGGCTGTAATTCAATTTTTCGTATTATTAATAATAAACTAATTTTATCCAGTAAGTGCATATAACTGCTGCTATTTCAAATACACAGTTCTATCTTTGCATTGCAAGTTTTATCTTGTAGGTAATGAAACTGAAAACTGGCTCTCTCACATAAATGTACTTAAGCTGGATCTTTACAAGCAGCTATCAAATTTGACTTTATAACCATTTAACAGATCGTAAATGTGAAGAACTGCAGCACTGATTTATAGTGTAAGTGATTACAATTTATGATTTTATGGCACTGTTAGGAAAAAATCCTTTGTTTACTCAAGACATAATAACAAAAATCCACCTTGGGAGTGTTAGGGATTTTCCCCAAATCTGATCCTGTGATTCTGAGAAGATGTTTCTTAAATGAGCAATAGGCATCTTTCCTTCGTGTCTCATTCTCGATGGACTACAGTAAGATAGTTATGTAACGTTCAAGAACCTTGCCTGTAAAGGGAATCTCCAATAGTGAGCAGATCAGATGGTCTAAAAGCTTTAGAATTACATGTCAACTTCTCAAAAGAGAGAAGACGGAAAGCTTGCAGAGGTCGCAGCAGGGACACTACAAATGAAAACCCCCTGTGAACCGCAGTGACAGTTTCATGTACCAGCTTCTGCTAAGCAAGAGAGTTGCAGACACCAAATGTATTCCGGAGCCACTGTCCTGCTGTGGAAGACAAGCCGAACCACAAAAGGTATTTTTAAGTGTCTGTCAGGCCATTGCTGCCACCCAAAATGAAGGGAAGTGAAACTAAACAGCTTCTTTTTCTGATCTTCCATACCACAGGGTGCAATATCCAGTCTCTTCTCGCCCCTACTTCCCATTATGTCACCAAACTGACCAGACAAGGTCATTCTGCAATGCTCGGCTTGCTGTAACGACACTGCCAAATGGTATTTTCACCTCCACTGAGGAGGAAAAGCTTTTCAGTAGAGCAGAGTCACTCTCAGAGCTGAGAGGAAGTGCAGAGTAACACTGTGGCCCTTGCTTGTTCAAAATGTGCTGCATTTTAAAATTCTTAATATACTCAGATGGGTTATAAAGCGCAAACTCTTGGGCTTAAAAGAAGGTTCTGACTAAACAAAATGATTCACATACAGTGAGCCATGTGCAAAGCAGTAGTACTTTTTGTTTTGTTTTTTTAAAACAAAGCAACAAAACCTACTCTATAGTGCCCTATTCACATCTACTTTATTTCAATTTCAATTTCAGTGTAAATAAAGGAGTGAGAAGTATATTAAAAAAAGTCTCAATAGCCCATTTGGTACACTTGAAATATAGTAAAGCACTTAAAGGATCCTTGTTACAGAAAATAAATCTATTCCTACAAGATGACTTACTCACAACACTGGTAAATGATTGGTGCTTGAAAACGAAATTGCACTGGAGTGAAAGCAATAACAATTAACAATAATCTTGAACCTTGAATAACAAAATTTGCTAATATTAGTATCATGAACTTAGCATTTGCATTACGTGAAATAATAATAAACAACATATTTTTTACAGCTTTTATCAAAGTTTGCCTTAATTTATAAATATACTTGTCTGTAAATAATTCATGATCATTCATAGTTCATTAACTGATACAACTTGAAATGTTAAAAATGCATTATGTAAATATTAACACTGTTCAAATACGTAAATGCTGTAAATGTATAACCCTTGAAGGAACACTTGAAACCCATTTGTAAGTGACAGTAACAGAATAGGGCTTTCTATGCCCTACCTCCCTTTCTCTCACTATCTCTCACTATCTCTCTCTCTCTCTCTCTATATATCCACATTATTACATTAGATCATAGGGCACAATGTTACATTCCAATTTACGTGCATTAGCTAAGCTCTAATCGCAATTCTAGACCTACTGTGCCCTGAGTTTCCTTATTACTCTTTTTAAAAAAAAAGATGATCTGAGGAGGCCTTCAACTTGAAATGTGGCACAGGGTTTAGAATTTAGACTTTTATATTTGAGCACAAAGTTTAGAAATGTATAGTCAACCCAAGAAACCTTCATTTTCAGGCCTGAACACTACATTACTGAGACATTACAGGGACAATTAGGTAACTTTAAATGTCTGTGCCTTTAAACAGAATGCTATTATTCAAGTAGCCATTAACCTAACAGCTATTCTCATGTAGGTAACAAACTTTAAAGGTGCACTAAGGAATATTTGAATTATTTGAACGCCGAGGTTGCTTTGTTTCTTCTTGATAGGTGACATCGTCTTCCACGTGAAACGGAGCTAAACCATTCAACACACACTACTACCAAACATATTCGACCTGGATTACCATAGTAACACTCATCGCTTTCACTTATTGATGACATCATACCCTCAGCCTGCACGCATAGCAGATTCCGCCATCGTTGCTGCCAGGGTTGTGTACGTACGTGTGGGGCGGAGTTATTAAAATCGGGGCGAGGTCCTGTTGGGGTAAGGGCGTGTTTGTTTTGGTGCTTTCAAATATCAACATCGTTTGGCAAAATTCGCTTAGTGCACCTTTAACTAAATTGCTCTGCAAGATTCCTTTCCAACTATTGCTCCACTATGACGGTAGTTAACCTAAAAAAAGAAAACTGACTGTAGAAGACTACAATTTATACAATAT